GATGACCTCGTGTTTGAGAGCCAGGAGTCAGACATCCTGGATGTGAGTCCCAGCTTTGCTACTTACAATGTGAATTTGCAAATTATTTAACCTCTTTGGGCCTTCGTTTGCTTTATTTCTTACATGGGAATAACAGAGTTTTTGTGAGAATTAAATGAGGTATTAACTGAAAAGCACTTGGAAGAGTGCTTACCACACAAAGTAAGTGCTCAATTAACTTCAGATGTTATATATTTAGTGAGTAGATGACCCCTAGCATTGTCTTGGTTCTAATTCATACATTTTGTAAAGGAAATTAAACTTCCAGTTGAAATTAAACTTGCTCCTATGCTTCTACATTCCTTTTAGTTATGGTAGGAAGTGGTAGCAACAAGAGCTGCAAAGACAAAAATTCATGTGAAAACTCATCTTCCTATCTACCATTTCACATTTTATTAGCAGGAAAAGATTCTAACTGATGTCTTTATCTTCTTCTTTGGAACAAAGAAGTTATGTGTGTAGAAGAATTAGAAAATAACTTGTGGATTTCATTTTCTTTCAAGTGATGGTATCCAAAAAAGCCATATATCAGCCTGAACAGAGTGAAATTTGTGTTATAAATAGAATTAGAAAATGATTGTTACTCAAACTTTCTTATGGCACTTGTGATGCTTAGAGAAATCACATGGTCTCTGGATATCCATATTATTTTGATGTCAGCCGTAGTTTGCATTTTCTTAGAAACTTCAAAATCCAGCTATTTTGTGAGGAAGAGTTGCTGTTGTTAGTGATTTTATAGGGATGGTGAGGAGTAAAAATTACGGTCTAAGGGAATGGAATTTTGGGAAAGTCCTATTGAGGCTTGTTACATAGTGCTGAGATTTTCCTGAGAGTCTCGTCATGTAGGTGTGTGGGAATTTTTTCTGTGCATTCTCCATTGTTGTCCTCTGAGTGTCAGGACATTCTGCCTTTGGTCCTGGATACTCTGCTGCCTGTTTGGTCTGGGACAATAGTTTGCCCTACACTGCTGGAGTCTCTGGGTTGAGTCCTGAATTGCCTGTATCAGCGACTGTGCCTGTCTCATCTCCTGGCATATCTGATCTGACCCAGTCTGTGGGCCCACAGCCAGGGGCTGGCCTTTCTCTGTCTGCTTCATGCTGCTATCTGCCCAAGCCCTGCTAAATCTTTAGTTTTAAATATAGCTAAAAATGAAACCTCCAAAGTCACATGTAAAACATGAGATATTTATGCTCAAAGTAGGAAGAGCCAAGA